ATCCCTTACCATAGACGCTGAGTCTGTATACGAATCGTTATCCAGCAAAGATCTTAGGATGCCGACGGAACGGACGTTGCTGGGACATATCAGCTGGATACGTGAGCTCATGGATATAGGTATAGCGCATAATGTGCAGTGATGTGATACTAGAGATACGACCGCAGATGGGCATACAAAGGGGGGTATCGATCGGGAGCTGTTTTTGGAAGTGATGTCAGGCACTCAGTCATTTAAGTATGACGTGAAGCAGTTTGTTCCCTTTCGGGGTCCCGAGGACAGAAACAAGCCTAAGTCTAATCAGTTTTAGTCTGTCCTTGTTGCCCCCGCGGTCCAGTTTGCCAGCATGGGCGCCTAATACAGAGGCGCCCTTCTAGGTGCTCGGAAACGAGCCTTGCATTTCACGCTTGGTAACGAGCCTGTTCAGATTGATTCAGGCCCTTTGCCTTAATACCCGTTTGCTCGGAGAGGTAGCCTGTTTGGCTTACCTCTAGCCAGGCCGATAGCCCTTATCTCGCATCTGCGTGAACTGCTTTGTGAGGAAACTCGCCTTACAGTCTGGTGTTAGGCCAGACTGCACGCACTGTTCTTCTTGCAAACAGTCGTGCGCGCGGCCTTTGTAGAGCCTAACGGCTGCGCGGCTATACTCACCGTCTCCTCCCCTCCCGACTTTAATGGTAGCTCTTTGGGAGATGTTATATAGGATCGGGAGTATAGCTCGCGCGCCGTTGCCTTTGGCTCAAGGCACGCGCGCCCTATTTGCCCGGACACTGCTCGTGTTCGCTATGTGCTGGACAGATTATTACATCGATCTTATCCTATCTTATCCGTCCATTTCTCTTACTGAACCACCTCAGTACGATACCGGACGCTATTTGCCATCCGCTTCCCATGGAATCGGATGCTATTTGACTTACCATAGTCACTTCAGACTTTTTGGCCTTGGCAACCACCTCTTCCAGGTGGCCGGCGGGGCGCGCCGGAGCCCCAGGGGGAGTTCTTCTGGAAAAAGGAACCGAAACCAAGAGCAATATAGTTTGGCACGCCAGGCACCCCGTCGCTAAAGCAAAAGGGGGCGGCGGATCGAAGACGCTTACGGCGAATCACCGCCGCCCCCTGCCTTTTTGGAAGCGCCTATGTGGCCGAACGTTGAGGCCAGACCTGCCAAGCTATCGGACCATGTGTTCCCCGAGTCGGTTTGGAAAGCCTTCGGGGAACACGTGGGCATCTTGGAAGGTCATCTTGGCCGTCTGAAGGCCATTTTGACCCTCTCGGGCCTTCTTGGAGGACGTCTTGGAGGGCTCTTGGACCGTCTTGGAGGCCATCTTGAGAGGCAGAAAAAAAAATGCCACAATCCTTCAAAAACCCATTGGGAATCAATGATTTTAGTCTTTTCGGGCCTTCCTGGAGGCCCTCTTGGATGCCTCTTGGGCCGTCTTGGGCCATTTCAGGGCCATGTTCGGCCGTCTTGGTGGGCTCCTGGTCCGTCTGACGCCGTCGGAAGCCGTTTGGGGGGCCTCTATGGGCCGACTTGGGGCCCTCTTGGAATGCTCCAGGGCCGTCTTGGAGGCCATCTTGGGCGTCTCAAAGGGCCCTCTCGGGCCGTTCTGGGGCCATCTTGGAGGCCTCTTGGGCGATCTTTCGGTAATCTTTGGGGGCTCTTGGGCCGTCTCGGGCCGTCGGAAGGCCGAAAAGAAGGAAGTGTCAAAATCCGTCAAACCTAAAGGAACATCAAGGTTTTTGGCCTCTTCTGGCCTTCCTGGAGGCCCGCTTGGGGGCCTCTTGGGCCGTCTTGGGCCAGCTTCGAGCCAACTTCGGCCATCTGGGTGGGTTCCTGGCACGTCTGACGCCGTCGGGAACCGTCTTGGGGGCCTTTCTGGGCCGACTGGGGGCCCTCGTGTGGCGCTTCGGGGCCGTCTTGGAGGCCATCTTGGGCGTCTTGGAGGCCATCTTGGGCGTGTTGGAGGCCTCTTGGGCCGTCTTGAAGGCCACTTGGGCCGTCATGGGGCCCTCTTGGGGGCCTCTTGGGCGATCTTGGGAGCCTCTTGTGTCGTCTTGAGCCGTCGGAATGCCGAGAAGAAGCAAATGCCAAAATCCTTCAAAAACCTATGGAAAATCAATGATTTTGGCCTCCTCGGGCACTCCCGGAGTACCTCTTGGAGGCCTCTTGGGCCGTTTTGGAGGCCTCTGGGGGGCCTCTTGGGCCGTCTTGGACCCTCTTGGGCTGTCTTGGAGGCCGTCTTGGACTGGACCATCTTGGGCGGACTTGGAGGCCATCTTGGGCCATCTTCGTGATTGTTTGAGGATGTCCCGAGCGAAACGGCCGTTTTTGGCCTTGGCAACCACCTCTTCCGGGTGGCCGGCGGGACGCGCCGGAGCCCCAGGGGGAGCTCTTCTGGAAAAAGAACCAAAACCAAGAGCAATATAGTTTGGAACGCCAGGCACCCCTTTGCTAAAGCAAAAGGGGGCGGCGGATCCGAGTGGCCTGCGGCCCATCCCGCCACCGTCCCTGGGTTGTGGGTCTGAGGCATCTTGTATATGAGTTGGGGTGTCGTGGGGAGCCTCTCGGGGGCTTCTTGGAGGTTGGGCGCCTCTTGGGGGCCTCTTGGGGCCTCGTGGGGTATCTTTTGGGCTTCTGGGAGGCCTCTTGGGCGCCTCTTGAGGCCTCTTGCGGCTTCTTGATGGCCTCTGGGGGCCTCCTGGGGACTGCTCGGGGCCTCGGGGGTGCGAATGTAGTGTAATTCATGCGGGATCGTGGCCTCGGGGGCGCGAATGTGGTGTAAGTTAGGGGAGATCGTGGCCTCGGGGGCGCGAATGCGGTGTAATTTGCGAGGGATCATAGCCTCGGGGGCGCGATTGTGGTGTAGTTTAAAAAGAGATCGTGGCCGCACAGGCGAGAGTGTGGCTTATTTTGCGCAGGGGGATCGTGGTCTCAGGAGCGTGGACATGGCGTATGTTACGTGAGATCGTGGCTTCAGGGACGCGAGTACAATTTGGTTGATCAGGGATCTCGGCCTCGGGGGGCGCGAATACAGCGTAATTTGCGATAGATCATTGCGTCGGGAGCGCGAATCTTATCCATTTGTACGTGTCACACGGCCCCCAGAAATTCTGAGGACGTGACTCGGAAACGCTAGCCGGGCGGTTTTCGCCCTCCCCCTCTCGCGGACAGTAGCAATTTACAGTAAGATGCAGAAAGCAGTATTGTAACATTGGAAACTGGAAACTGGAACAGGCGCAGGGAGCAGCAAATCTAATCCTCGCAGCCTGATGGCCCCGCAGGGGGGCCGGCGGATTTTTATGCCAAAATCCGCCTGTAGGAGGACATGCCCGACGTAACGCTGGGTCCCCTTCCCTAGCGCGCTGAGCGCGCCAGGTGCGGCGCCGAAGGCGCCGCCAGCGGGGCCCAGCGCAGATCCCAGACATGCCTGGCGGACCGCCGAAAGTTTAGATATGTTTACGCGAAGAAGAAAACGCCATAAACACAAACTTTTGGCGCTCCGCGCGGATTTCTTGGATCCGCGTTGGGGCCCCCTGGCGGCGCCTCCGGCGCCGCCCCTGGCGCGCTCCGCGCGCCAAGCAGGGGGGTCCAGCGCAAATCCAAGAAATCCGCGCGGAGCGCCAAAAGTTTATGCTTAAGCCATTTTCCCTGCTTCTACTTACGCTGGTGCTTATTCCTCTTGGCCTCGCTCGGACGTATGCATTTTTCATAGGCGAGGGGCATCTTGGAACATCTTGTGAATTAACCTTGCGCCCCTGATGTTTAACCCCTGTGGGGATAATACAGTTCGGGGTCCAGGAGGGATAACAAACCTTCTCCTGGAGATCGCAGCATGATGATGATGCTGATGATGAGGATGAGGATGTGGATGAGGAGGATGAGGCTGATGATGATGATGAGGAGGAGGAGGAGGAGGAGTAGGAGGAGGAGGATGATAATGAGGATGAGGATGAGGATGATGATGAGGATGATGATGAGGAGGATGATGATGAGGATGATAATGAGGATGCTGCTGATGATAATGATGCTGATGCTGATGCTGATGATGATGATGATGTTGATGCTGATGATGATGATGCTGATGATGATGATGATGCTGATGACGATGATGATGATGATGGTGGTGGTGATGGTGATGATGATGATGATGAGGAGGAGGAGGAGGAGGAGTAGGAGGAGGAGGATGATAATGAGGATGAGGATGAGGATGCTGATGAGGATGATGAGGAGGATGATGATGAGGATGATAATGAGGATGCTGCTGATGATAATGATGCTGATGCTGATGCTGATGCTGATGCTGATGATGATGATGATGATGATGATGATGATGAGATGATGATGATGATGAGGATGATGATGAGGATGATGATGATGATGATGATGATGATGATGAGATGATGATGAGATGATGATGATGATGATGATGATGATGATGATGATGATGATGATGATGATGATGACGACGACGACGACGACGATGATGCTGATGATGATGATGATGATGATGAGGATGAGGATGAGATGATGAGATGATGATGAGATGGATGATGATGATGATGATGATGATGATGATGATGATGATGATGATGATGATGATGATGATGATGATGATGATGATGATGATGATGATGATGATGATGATGATGATGATGATGATGATGGTGGTGGTGGTGGTGGTGGTGGTGGTGATGGTGATGGTGACGATCCTCATCCTGGGAGCCTCTGATGGTGCTCGGCGCTCGGAAATCAGGAGGCACACGGGAAACATCTGCGCCCGAGCAGCGCCGAGCCCTCGAGGCACGGCCGCCCGCTTCCTGACCCCAGGAGGAGGAGGAGGAGGAGGAGGAGGAGGAGGAGGACAAGGAGGGGGTGGAGGAGGGGGAGGGGGACGAGGAGATAGGAGGAGGAGAAAGAGGAGGAGGAGGAGGAGGAGGAAGGAGAGGAGGAGGAGGAGGAGGAGGAGGAGGAGGAGGAGCAGCAGCGCCGAGCCCTCGAGGCACGGCCGCCCGCTTCCTGACCGCCATGGTCTGCCTCGGCGCCGGCGGCGTCTACCGCCTCAGCGGCGTGCCCCGCATGCACGAGCGCCCGCAGCAGGAGCTGCACGGCTTCCCCCCCGGGGCCGTGGGCGACCCCAGGAGGAGGAGGGGGAGGAGGAGGAGGAGGAGGAGGAGGAGGAGGAGGAGGAGGAGGAGGAGGAGGAGGAGGAGGAGGAGGAGGAGGAGGAGGAGGAGAGGAGGAGGAGGGGGGAGGAGGAGGAGGAGGAGGAGGAGGAGGAGGAGGAGGAGGAGGAGGTGGAGGAGGAGGAGGAGGGAGGAGGAGGAGGAGAGGAGGAGGAGGAGGAGGAGGAGGAGGGGGGAGGAGAGGAGGGGGAGGAAGGAAGGAGGAGGAGGAGGAGGAGGAGGAGGAGGAGGAGGAGGAGGAGAGGAGGAGGAGGAGGAGGAGGAGGAGGAGGAGGAGGGGAGGAGGAGGAGGAGGAGGATGGATGGATGGTGTGCTCCCTTTGAGCTGGCGGCGGAAGCTTCGGACGAGACTTCCTTTTAGCAAGGGGCCACGACCCGGGGAGGGTTCGGAAGCGACCTTGCTGCGACGGCTCTGGAAGACAGATCGCCAGCTCTGAAGGGGTCGAGGGGAGGGTTGGTAAGAGCTGTGCACTTTCCAAGACCTGCGCGGAGTCAAGAGGGCGGCGCACAGAACCGACCCTGGAAAACCGTGCAAGCCTTTGAAAATTCCCACAGTTCCAACAAGGACCTCCGCCCGAAACCCCGGCCAGGGCGAAGCAGAAGAGGCAACTCAGAGACTCCCCGCCATATGTGGGGGGGGGCCAGGCAGGGAGCACCTGCCTGGGGCTCGTCCGATCCCCCCACGCTGCCTGGTCGACGTACCCCGCAGGTACGGGACGGTGACAGGAGGAGGGAGAGGAAGCCACCCCAGGGAGGGGAGGATCCAGCCCGACCCGACCCGCCTGCCAGGAGACTGGGGGGCGAAAGATGCCGAAGCCGAAGCTTCCAACGCCAGACCAGAATTTCCAGGCGAATCCTGCCGTGACCACGACGAGACCCCAAAAACGAGCAGCGGACCAGGAAACAACCCCCTCAGTGCCCCGGGCAGAGGGGAGGGAAGGAGGGAGGCGGGAAAGGGGATGGGCAGAGACCCCCAGGACCGAAGGCACAAGTTTTCAGAGCTGCCACCGGACAGGGCGACAAGGGATACCCCAAGAGCCGAGGAACGGGGACGCGATCAGGACCCCCGACGGAACACCCAGGGCCTCCGAAGGCCCGAAAGGACCTCCAGGACCTCCAACGGCCTGCCCCCACGACGACTCGAGGACTCCCGGCGGCCAATGGCAGCGGCCTCGGCGCCCCGATGCGCGCTCCAGGGCCTGCTTGCCAGCTCTCCCTCACACGGCGGCACGAGGGAACGCGGCAGCCCCCTGCGACGGCAGCGGCGGCGACGCGACGACGACGACGACGACGACGACGACGACGACGACGACGACGACGACGACGACGACGACGACGACGACGACGACGACGACGACGACGACGACGACGACGACGACGACGACGACGACGACGACGACGACGACGACGACGACGACGACGACGACGACGACGACGACGACGACGACGACGACGACGACGACGACGGGGGGAGAGGGCACCCCAACTGGCCTCGGAGGGGCTGCCGCGGCCGGCATGCCTCCGAGGGCTGGGCTTCGCACTCTCCCAAGGAGCACGCTCCTGGGCCAGCTTGCCACCTCTCCCCCACGCGGCGGCACGAGGCCGCGCGGAGGCCACCAGCGGCAGCGGCGGCGACCCCGACGACGACGACGACGACGACGACGCCGACGCCGACGACGACGACGACGACGACGACGACGACGACGACGACCGACGACGACGACGACGACGACGACGACACGCGGCGGCCGACGGCTGCGGAAGCGGCGGCAGCGGCACGACGACAGGGAGGGAAGAGCGAAGGCAGGGAAGGGACCGAGGAGGAGGAGGAGGAGGGGAGGGCGGCCTGGCCCCGGCAGGAGGAGGAGGAGGAGGAGGAGGAGGAGGAGGAGGAGGAGGAGGAGGAGGAGGAGGAGGAGGAGGAGGAGGAGGAAGGAGGGGGAGGGAGGGAGGAGGGGAGGGGAGGGAGGGAGGGAGGGAGGGGAGGAGGGAGGGAGGAGGGAGGGAGGGAGGGAGGGAGGGGGAGGGAGGGAGGGAGGGAGGGAGGGAGGAGGGAGGGAGGGAGGAGGAGGAGGAGGAGGAGGAGGAGGAGGAGGGGGGGAGGAGGGAGGAGGGAGGAGGTTTAGGGAGGAGGAGGAGGGGAGGAGGAGGAGGAGGAGGAGGGGGTGGGAGGAGGAGAGGAGGAGGAAGGAGGAGGAGGAGGAGGAGGAGGGGAGGAGGGAGGAGGAGGAGGAGGAGGAGGAGGAGGAGGAGAGGAGGAGGAGGATGAAGGAGGAGGAGGAGGAGAAGGAGGAGGTGGGAGCAGGAGACGAAGGAGGAGGAGGAGGAGGAGGAGGGGCAGGGAGGAGGACGGGTCGCCTAAGCCCTTCGGAGAAGCTCCAAAGCAGGAGTTGGTGCGCGCGCTGCGCGCCCTCGGCTACCGGGTCGACACCCCGAACGACAAGCTGCCGGCGCTGGTGCACGGCGGCGGCGCCAGGCCGGGGCCCGTGACCGTGAGCGTCGCGGACAGCTCCGGGCGTGAAAACGACCACAGCCACTGCTTTTCTTTTGTTGCCGCCTTCCAGCCCGCAGAAACAAAGCAGTGGCTGTGGTCATTTTCGTTGAGCTTGGCACCAGGGAAATGACCACAACCACTGCGTCATTGTTGGCCGGCTGGAAAGCGGCGCAAACAAGAAGCAGTGGCTGTGGTCATTTTCCCGTCCCGCAGGACAGCTCCCAGTTCGCCAGCGCGCTGCTGCTGTCCGCGCGCCGGGGCGGCTGGGAGGTCTCCACCCCGGAGGCCGGCGGCAGCAACTCCGGAGGGGAAAAACCACACAGACACAATTGATCGCCGAGTCCCAGGAAAACGTTGGAAGATATGGGAAGTGGGGGAAAGAAAGAAACCCAGAAAATATGGGAAAATATGGGGCATATTTTTATTTGTGTGTATTTATTTGTGTGTCCTGGGGCCCCTTTAGCAACTCAGGGCATAGGACGAGGTACCGATACTATACCGCTGCCCTTCCGTCGCCTCCACGGCTAGATTCCCGTCAGGTTCTGGGTCAGGGCGCACCGCGGGAGAGGTCCAGGGTTGAGTCGGGCTCGTCCCTTTACAGGAGGAGTATTCGAAAATAGTCACAAAATCGTATGGGGACGATTTTGCTATTATTTGTTTTTGACCATGTTCAATTTTTCTTTAAAGATTCGACTGCAGGAGGACATGCCCGACCGAAGTCCAGGGAGTAGTGGTGTCGGTACTTGTTTTATTCCCCCCAGCAATGGGGGCGGTTGGCCCACAGGGGGGGAGCATGGTATTGTATTGTGTACCTCCAGGGGCTCTGAGGCTCTCCCCAGATAAGGCGTATATCATGTAAGGCCCCGGGGCGATCCAGCCCCCCTTTGACATCCGACAGTGTGATTTGTTTTAGGTTGGGATGTCCCTCTACAGGAGGAATGTTCAAGAATGGTTGTTCCAGTAGTTTGGTGAAGATGTTTTGTGCTCTGTTGACCATGTTTGCTCATGTTGTTGCTACTTTTGATTGTTCTTCCCATATGCGCCTGCAGGAGGACATGCCCGACCGACGGTTTGTTGTACCCGCCGCCGCAGAGGTCCCGATCCCTTCAAGGGGGTGGTTTTCCGTGCCTGGTGCATTTTTGATGGTCCCAGGGCTCAGAAGCGGCCCCCGATGCCCGAAATCTGGGAGAAAAAGTGCCGGTCGAAAAACACATGCACACAGTCTGAGATCTTGGCCTTCCTGCCTCCGCTGGCCAGAGGGCTCGAACCCCGACGAGCTCCCCTACGTGGAGATGACCCGCCACATGGTCCAGCTCTTCCCCCACGGCGGCGGCACCTTCCAGATCGAGCCTGACGCCTCGAGCGCGAGCTATCCGGGCGCCTGCGGCAGGTGCCACCACGGTGCCCACGGGCAAGGAGGCCCGGGAGGGGGGGGGGGGCGACGTTGGTACCTCTCTAGCTGCGCCCAGTCGATCCCCCAGGCAGCCCGCCTGGCCTCGACAGGCCCACGCCCACCGGCTGGCTCCAGCCAGCCTCGACAGGCCTCCTGAGCAGGCCCGGGGCGGTCTCAACATCCCAGCCCATGGGGCGCAGCGCGCCCGAAGGGCGCCGCCGTGTGTTGGGACCGCCCAAGACCTCTCGGGGTGGCTGCTAAGGCCAGCAGGGACTATTCGAAGGGCCCGTTGAGGCCAGCGCGGGCTACCTGGGGGGGGGGCTGTTTGTGCGCAGCCCGGAGCCGGTCCAACGCGAGTGCAGTCAAGACGACGGACTAGTTCGGGGCTCGGAAAGGGCTCTGGTTCTCAGGCCGCTCCTGAGATCTGAGTCGCGGAAGCTAATCGTGGCCCAGGCTCGCCACGTAGCCAAAAAGGCCCATTCGTTCATTCAGCGCTCCTTATGGTAACACGATGATCGTAGGCGTGATCAGGGAGAAGGGGGCAGCCCGTGAAAGACGTTCATCATCCCTGCCTGGCATCACGCGACATTCTAACACGCTCGCATCGTTCAGGCACGGTGGCGGTCTTCCACGCCGTCAACGCCATGTTCCCAGACATCGAGCCCGTTAGGGTCATGGCGTGTCAGCCGCCGCGATCTGCCGGCGGAACCGGCTGGCAGATCGACGCGGAGTTCCCCCGCCACGCGCCCCGCTCGGCTTGCCCAGCCGCAGAGGCTGCCCGAGAGAAGAAGAGCAAGGATTCGGCCACGGAGGTCTCCAGGAAGACGGACCTGGGCGACTCCATCATGACGGCAATCGCCATCGCCCCGCTTGCCACCACGGCGTTCAAGTTCACGAACCTCGGCGTGCTGCGCAAGCAGGAGTGCGAGCGCGTGCAGGCGCTCCGGGACGAGCTGACGAAGTGCCGGGCGACTGTGGTCGAGGAAGGGGACACGCTGGAGGTGACGCCCAGCACGGCCTGCTCCCTCGGTGACGCCACGGTTTGCACCTACCACGACCACCGCATGGCCATGTGCATGGCCACGCTCGGGCTGAAGGCGAAGGGCATCAAGATCGAGGATCCGAGCTGCGTACGGAAGACCGTGCCGTCCTTCTTCCAGATGTTCGCTGCTGCGCCTCCGCACGGTCTGGGCGCGGAGGTCTGGGAGTGCGACCCGGCCACTGGCGCCCGAGTGAGGCGGCTGACGGAGAAGGCAGACTTGCTGGCGTGCAAGTAGGTCCTGTCTCTTTCTCATCCACCTCCTGTTTCTCCTCTTCGAAGAATTCGGTCGCAAATCATGGGAGCCTGGTGTGCCCTTTTAACCAGTTCCGTCTTTAGCGTCGACTAGCGTCTGGAGTCGATGAGATAGCGCCGATTTAGTGTCGGCTAGCGTCGGTTTAGCGTGGATTTAGCGTCGACGAGCGTCGATTAACCTCGAGCAGCGTCGATCCGCAAGAGCCGACAAGATGGCATGGGAGGGCCCCAATGAGTTGCCACCCAGAAAGAAGAGGAGCAAAACCGAAGAAGAAGAATAAGAAAAAGAGGCGCCCATGGCATGAGGAGCGAGGTCGGAAACTGGAACATATACATTACCACTGGCGGGCTGTGTTTCAATCCCAGAACTTCTTGAGGGTCGGGGACGACGTCGGAGTGGTGTGGTGTATACTATTTTCCCCGTTCTCCCAGGGGAAACAACGAGAAACGTATTCACCAGGATCCCGTATACGCCAGGCTCCGCGTTCCTGTGCAAGTTCCAGTGCGGGGCCGTAGAACACGTCGGTGCATAGAGCCCGGTCCCTTAGGAGGAGCGAAAGCAGCAGCAGAACGAACAAAAATCGCCCGGAGCCGCGCACGGACCTCTGGGAGCGGCGCCCGGGGCTCCCCCTGGCGGCCCCCCCCCGGCGCCCTCCCCGACGGCACGAACACAAATCGTTCGGAGCCGCGCACGGACCTCTGAGAGGAGCGGCGCCCGGGGCTCCCCCTGGCGGCCCCCCCCGGGCGCCCTCCCCCGACGGCGGGGGGCCCTGGCGCAGATCCTCGGGGGTCTGAGTCGGTGGGGGTTCGGGGTCACGGCACGGTTTCGGGGCTCGGGTCGCTCTCCGAGGACGTCTCGGGCGATGGGGGCATCCGAGGTCCCAAAAACGTGCGTTGACGGACCGTGCGGGGAGGGCTTGGGGCATGTCGAGGTCACCGCACGGTCTGTCACCACCGCACCGTTTCGGGACTCCAAAGATCCCGAGACGTCTGCGCGGACCTCCGACAGTTTCTCGAAGAAGGAGAATCTCGGCGGCGAGCGAGGGGGGGAAGTGGGAAGGAGAAGGCGTCCTCAGAAGGCGGCAGGACTTCTCAGAGGCCCCCGCGCCTTCCGAGAAGTTGATTTTTTGTCTCCGGGGGAGGCTCAGGAGACTTCTCAGCAGAAGGCCTGGGGACTTCTGAGCCTTCTGCGAGGGCCCGCCCCTTCTCACTTCCCCCCCTCGCTCGCCGCCTAGACAGCTTCTTGAACAAAGGAAAAACGGCAAACTTGTGGCGGTCCGCGCGATTTTTTTCGGAGCCGCGCTGGGCCCCCCCCCCGCGGCGCCTCCGGCGCCGCCCCTGGCGCGCTCCGCGCGCCAGGGAGAGGGAGGGGGGTCCAGCTCAGAGCCAAGAGACCCGCGCGGAGCGCCAAAAGCTTATGTGCGCGACATTTGTTTTGTTCTAGTTGTGTCTGCTGATGCCAGTTCTGATTGCTCGATCATCCTCCTCATCGTCCCCCCCTCCTCCATGCATCCCCGCCCGTAGCTTTGAGTCGGGCCTGCCCCTCCACAGGAGGAATGTTCAAAAATAGTCAAAAATAGTATGGGGATGCTTTTTTGTATCTTTTGGCAATTCTGGGACGTTTTTTGAGTATTCTGTAATAGTTCCCCCCAAAGCCCCCCTGTAGGGGGACAGGCCCGACCTAACCGTAGCTGCCCGCATCTCTCGGCGGTGCCTCGCGCGAGCCTGGCCCCTGTCCAGCTCCGAGCGTGGGAGGAGGCCTCTGGTGGAGCCAGCTCGGCCGAGCTCGGGGGAGGTGGGAGAGGAGGAGGAGGAGGAGGAGGAGGAGGAGGAGGAGGAGGAGGAGGAGGAGGAGGAGGAGGAGGAGGAGGAGGAGGAGGAGGAGGAGGAGGAGGAGGAGGAGGAGGAGGAGGAGGAGGAGGGGAGGAGGAGGAGGAGGAGAGGAGGAGGAGGAGGGAGGAGGAGGAGGAGGAGGAGGAGGAGGAGGAGGAGGAGGAGGAGGAGGAGGAGGAGGAGGAGGAGGAGGAGGAGGAGGAGGAGGAGGAGGAGGAGGAGGAGGAGGAGGAGGAGGAGGAGGAGGAGGAGGAGGAGGAGGAGAGAGGAGGAGGAGGAGGAGGAGGAGGAGGAGGAGAGGAGGGAGGAGGAGGAGGAGGAGGAGGAGGAGGAGGAGGAGGAGGCGGGAGGAGGAGGAGGAGGAGGAGGAGGAGGGGAGGAGGAGGAGGAGGAGGAGGAGGAGGAGGAGGGGGAAGAGGAGGATTAACTGCTGCTGAAGTCCAAGGTTCTATGAACTCAATGGCTTCACACACCGACTTCGGACCCCCGTCCGAAGAGACAGACCACAGGCGGTGCCGCTAGGCCCCTTATAGTTTGCTACAGCTCCAGACCCCCGTCTGGAGATCGGCCCGTCTTAGCGGTCGCTGCCCTGCTGGAACCGATGAGGTCAGCTGGAGTTGCTTCATGGCCACGTGGTGGCGCCCGGAAACTCCGAAAACCGCCCCGGATGAAGGCCCAGTCGGCGTTAAAATTGTTAAAGCAGTTTTCTCGGGCTCGGACCCCCTCACGGGGGCGAGGCTGACTAAAGAAAACGGCCGGTCTTAGGGTCTTTGCCCTCCCATAGTCGGCTGAGTCTGCCCTGCGTAGTTTGGGGGGTCAGCGGGCTTACAAGATTAGCGAGGTAAATTCTGCCACTGGACCTTCGCATAGCAAGCGCATCGTTTGCGGAAGACTACCCCTGGCCTCTGCACGACTTTGTGGCCCTTGCTGCGAGCTAGTGCCAGTCGGTCTGCTAGCACTCCGCTGGGAGTGTCTTGCCTGTTACCCTCCCCCTGAGCCGTGTTAGGAACAGGAGAGGGAGGGGCCACCACCAAGACCACCACTCCCCGCAGTGCCCGAGGGGGGAGTCGGCTCAGGAGGGGGACCCTTCTGGGAATCGACTACGCCTGCCGATTTGACGCCGACGGATGCCGCAAACTCGAGGACCCCTTTAATAGTGTCAACGAGGGTGATATATATATATATATATATATATTGCTGGCGCTGCCACCCTGGGTGCTGGAGCATGCGCGCCCCTGCTTTGGCCCCCAGATCCGCGACGCGGTTGCCCCAGAAATCCCTATCGCCCATCTGGGCGCGCTCTGCTCGGGTAGCACGAGCTTTGATTTACAAGAAGCTTATCGGGCCAAGTCCGCCGTGTTCTTCGACGAGGTGCCACAGTCGATGCCACGAGCGAGCATGGGGGTTGGTGGGCCTGGTGCACCAATCCCGTCCACGTTAAATTCCCGATGCCACGTTCACACGGTCCGTGTGGATGCGTACTGGCGCCACTGTCCAAAGTTCAGCGGCGAATCTATGCTGATCTTCCTGGGGGAGCGGCAGCGGGCCGTAGGCCTTGAAAATTTCCCGGCCTACCCCGTCCACGGTAGCAAAACACCAGCCTGCCCTTCGGATGGCTTTATATTTTCCGTCCAGGAGGGGGCCGTCAGTGTATACATCCCCCGAAAGGAGGAGGTGGAGGAGGAGGAGGAGGAGGAGGAGGAGGAGGAGGAGGAGGAGGAGGAGGGGAAAGGCCTCCTCCTCCTCCTTTCCCCCCCCTCGGCTCGCCGCCGAGGGAGGGCACCTCGGCACACCGCCGCCCCGCCGGGCCCCGTGGGTCCCGGCACGCCGCGTGCCGGCCCTCCCGCCCGAGTCCCTCCCCATGGGGCCCCAGGAGGAGGAGGAGGAGGAGGAGGAGGAGGAGGAGGAGGAGGAGGAGGGCCCCGGCGAGGCACGGCGGCGGCGCAGCGACTCGTTGCGATTCCTCCGCTCCGATTCGAGTCGGACTCCCCAGAGGTCCAACGTCTTGAAAGAAGCAAGACGGAGGTTTTTCGTTGATGCCGACCTTCAAAAACGGAGGTTTTTCGTTGATTTCGTTGAGAAATCGAAAAAAAAAAGTTTTTCGGGGCCCTCGCCGGGCCCCGGGACCGTCAAAAACGGCGCCGGGTGAGCAACCGGCCCTGGGGAAACGGTAGTCGAGGCTTCTGGGGACCGCGTATTGGAAAAATTCCTGGCGTCGGATCCTCCTCCTCCTCCTCCTCCTCCTCCTCCTCCTCCTCCTCCTCCTCCTCCTCCTCCCCCTCCTCCTCCTCCTCTCTGGGCCGATGGCTTCCGATGTCGATGCGAGTCGACTTTGGGCTCCCGACGTGGGCTCCGACCTCTCCATGAGGGCCCACCGGCCTGCCGATCTCCGCCGATGCGGCTCTCCCCGGCTCGGCCGCCGACGGCCGCCGCTCCGATTCGCTTCGATCGCCGATCCGATCTGTCGGTTCGATTCTGGGCCCTCCTGCAGTCGGGGCGTTGACTTAAGGAACCCTAAATAAGGAACGAGGCCCCTTCTTGTCCATAAGTTGAACTTCGATCTCCCATCGAAAGCCTAAGGAAAACCTCAGGCAAGCTATGAAACATGCAAGGAACACGGGGCCCCTCCTCAACGAACAGGGTTCCTTCTTCAGCGCCCCGACTGTAGGGGGTGCCCCCAGACATCCAGCGCACAGGAAGAAATCAGGGCGGTGGTTTTGTTCGCCGTTGCCGGTCTCTCTGTGGGGGCCCTCGCCTGCGCCTAGGACCGACAGAGAACGACTCGAGTTAGGTCGGGCGTGCCCCCCCTACAAAGAGACTTTGGAGGAACAGTAAAACATGCCCAACAATATTCAAAAATTGCCACCAAAGAAAGAGATAGTTAAAAAGATCGTCCCTGGAACAAGTTTCTTCATCATTCTTGGATTTTCCTCCTGCAAAGGGACGTGCCCGACCTAAGACCTGGGACAAAGAGCCGGCCCTGGCAGAAGAAGGGCCAGGACGTCTGGAGGCCCTGCATGGGAAAAGCCCAGACGTCGGGCGTCTGGGGGGGAGGAGGAGGAGGCGGAGGAGGAGGAGGAGGAGGAGGAGGAGGAGGAGGAAGAGGAGAAGGAAGAGGAGGAGGAGGAGGAGGAAGAGGAGGGAGGAGGG